AAAAAAAAGAGAAAAAAAGAAAAAGAACACTCCCCCCCTCCCCACACACACACACCTCTCCTATCTGTCTGCGAGGCTCTGGTCGGACAGATGAGATCCTACTATGTAAATGTCATCTAAAGGGGTTCAGAGGGCCGCAGTGCAAATACTCGGACCCTCGGCTCACAAAGACGCGCCCAGATAAGAGATTGGACAGTCTCCTATGAAGATGAATTCTGATTTTCTCGGTATTAACTCTTAGTACTACCGGTATCAGTTCGTCCTAGGTAGTTATGTGCTAACGACATTCCTCGTTTACATGGTGTGTGTACTTTTTTGTCACTGTGGGGACGGGATTAGTTGTTGCACATTCTTTTCTTGCTTAATATATTCAGTTCTTCCCATTTAATGCAGTTTTGTTAGACTGGATCGTGGGCAGGCGAAGTGTGTTTAGAGTGAAAAACTATTGCAGCAGTGGGGGGATTGATAGAGTTCATAGAGTAACATAATGTTATTATCGCAGATAAAAGTCTACTTGAGCTGCCACCATTCATTGATGAGACAAGTTTAGAGCGTCTCTCGCCCATGACGTCACGGAAACCCTCATGTGGCCCCACAGAAAGGGCAGACACGTCCCCTCCTCCTCCCAATCCCCATCACATGAGCGTACTAGGACAGGTAAGTTCCAAGTGGAGGGCTAAAGTGTACCTTTACAGTGAGTTAAAAAGTTTATAGAGCAACATAATAATCGTGCATAGGGCCATACCCTAAGGTATCGAATAATCGCCCCCCCCGGTTATTAATTTCTAGGGTTTTTTGCACACCCCCTCCTCCCGCGCTCCTTATTCCATACCCCACGTTTTCTTATTTTTCAGCTTGCCACGATCGACGATCATAATGTGTAACATTATAATATCCTAGAATCTAGATATCTGATTGAAACTTCTTTTTTTGTGTGTGTAAAATGTCAAATTGCCCTCCGTATTAGTACCGGTACCAGGTTGGCTACCTCAATTTTCTGTACATTTTAAAAACTTTCGTTCATTTGTTTATATTTTTGAATGAAACTGGGGTTTTTTTTTCCTAAATTTGAAAAGTTCTCAAAATGACTTACTAATATCACTAATATCTCGTGATCTCTTGTT